CCCCCACAGCCACCCAACACTACAGTCTCTATATGCAATTAGAACCCCTATACCCCCTCTACAGCGCCTTTTCACCCATTAGAGCCCATGTTGCCCATTAAAGCCCTTATCTTCCCACTACAGCCCCAGTCCCACACACTACAACTCCTGTCCCCTACTGAAGCCTCTTCCCCGCATTACAACTCTTTCTGTAACACATGCATGTGTGCGTGATGTATATTTGTGTCTCTTGCAAGTTGGTGGGTACACGGGGGGCCCCATGATCTCCTATTGCCCAGGGGCCCCATGAGTTGTCAGTCCGCCCCTGATAGACAGTATGCACATTATTTAATAGAAACAAAACAATTTTTGTTGGGCAGGAAAAAAAGCAAGAAACTGTTTTATTTACATTCTTCCCACAAATTCTGTAATCCACTTACAAAGTAGTGGAACTAATAAGCAAAGAGTCCTGGTGCAAGAGTGCCAGCTGACCACTTTAGCCAATCAGCGGCACCCCTACCCAGCGGCACGCTATGCTTACTGACACACAGTAAATAAAAGTGAACACATTAACACTAATATTTTTTTTACCTGGGGAGATGAGAAGGTCCAAGGTTTCCCTGCCAGGCCCAGGTACCAAAGCTTTATGATGTGGTGTCCAGAATTAAATGGAGGGTGTGGCAAACAGAGCCTCGCCACGGGCTTCTGGAGGGGCCTGCTAGCCAGCCTCCTGCTGGGACTATGACCCCTGTGTTAAACCTGGTTCAGGACCGTGAAAAGGCTTTGTTCATGTCTTTTCCCTTATCTGGTTCGGTAAATGGGATTCCCCGAACAGATTAGACTTATGTGGTTCGCATGCCGAACTGTTGGACCACCCAGAGGAGTCGTGTGCTGCTTGTCAGGGCCGGACTGGGTATTAAAAGCAGCCCTGGAAAAAAAATATTTACCAGCCCCATAATGCATCGCGCCAGCATAGTGTGCAGATACAGAGTTAGAACAGATAACTTAAAATTAAAAAGTACTTCAACGTAAAAAGCGCACTAATAGGCTTCAAAATAAACAAAAGTGCAGATTTATTTTAAGCATACGTGCCTTTCTATGTAATCAATGTTTCAGTCCAACTACCTTGACATATTAAGGAAAGCTTGTTAATGGGACTGAAATGGTGAATGTATGTAGGGCAGAACTGAAATTTTTTTATTTTGAAGTCCTGTGGGTGTGCTCTTCACTTTAAATAAGTTATTGTGCTGGAGTATGCACCTAGCAACAAGACTGGGCCAATATCTGCTCATTACATATGGTACATATTAATGAAATTTCTCTGTGTATTATGCATTTATAAATGTACATTAATATGTGTAAATATAATAGAGATATATATATATATATATAAAAAAAAAAAAAACTAATACACACATTAATATACATGTCATATACTAATGGCGGATCCAGAGCCTGAGCCTGAGCCTGAGAGGGGCACTTGTAGATTATTTAAAGAAATATTCCATGCACAATAACCACTACTCCTCTGTGTAGTGGTTATGGTGCCAGGAGCACCGGCACCCCCTCCCAGAGTAAGTCGTCAAACCGTTTAATCACAGTTTGACAACTTACCTGGAGTCTGCTGGGATATGGGGCTGTAGTAGGGTATAGGAGCAGTGGTGCAATGTGTGTGAAAGGTTCAGTGTGTGGGTGGGCAGTGTGTAAATGTGTATGGTGTGTGTGGGGGCAGTGTGTGAATGTGTATGGTGTGTGTGTGGGGCAGTGTGTGTATGGGGCTAGAGTTCACTCCTACTACTGGGACCACCAGGAAGTGGTGAGAGTGAACTCTAGCCCGTAGCTCCAGGGCTGCCCCAGGTCCTCTCTTCCTCTCCTGCCGACTGGCAGAGGGCACTTGCACTGCGGTAAAGATGGGGCTGGGCAGGAGGAGAGTGCAGTGCAATCAGTGCACTCCCCTCCTGTGGGTCACCAGTAGACTGGTGCACCTGCCCAAGATCAGAGCCGGTGCAAGGATTTTTGCCGCCCTAGACAAAATAAAAATTTGCTGCCCCCCCATGTGACATCACAATGCCCCACCCATATGAACTAGCGCCAGTGCTGCACACAGTGTGTGTTTACATTAAAAAGCCTGCAGGGACCAGCTATAGACACCAGAACCACTTCATTAAGCTATAGTGTCCCTTTAATGTGAGGTACATTATAGATTAGTGTCACTAATAATATACTAGATTGCCTACTTACAAGCAGATGAGGATGATGATGGGCTGCAGTTTGGCTCCACTGGTCTGGTGTAGAACAGGATCTCTGGAGGCTGTTTGCAACTGTGGTCACAAAACTCAATGTTCTGGGAGAATTGGAAGCAGCTCCATTTTTTGGGGCCCCTTACACAGCTCAAGGTCTGGGCCCCAGGGCCTGACGGTGAGTATGCCCATAAGGCCCACTCATAAGTTCCACCCACCCATGAGTTCGCTCACAGGG